CGGTAAGTATAGGGTTTATAATGAAAAATTCTTGATTTTTCTGTGGTATGATTGTGAATCCTATAACTTGGTAACTCCCGTTTTCAGTTTTGAGTTTTTTTTTGAATTTTGGATGATCGTTTTTGGGAAACATACGAACTTTGAAGACACTCTATATTTTCTCTAGTTTTGATCTTGATTTCTGCCAAAAATCAAGATTGTTGCTTTTACAATTATCCCAATTCGGATTTCGTGATACCAAGCATATACGGTTGAAATATCGAATTTGGAAAGTGATTCACACGATTGTAGAAGAAATCCGGTTAGATTTCAACAATATCCCTTGGTGATTGTTGATAAGTTAAATTTTAATACTTGTCATTACATTGAATGCAACAGTGACACAAATGGAGAAACAGTTGATGAAGTTGCAGTTTGCTTTGAAGAATCCGTGTTGTAGATGTTTACTTGACGACTCGTTTTGGAAGCCATATAATAAAGAAATGGAAATGAGTGACTACGACGCCACTAGTATCTTTGAGGGGAGAATGGGCAGGGAAGCTTCGGAGTTATGTACTTGAATAGCTTGTCTCATTGATGGGAGAAGGTCTGAGTCAGGGTGTACACACTATAACCCAACGATCATCAAACGTTTGATTTCATCTTCCTCAAAATCCGACCCAAGTGGATCTGCTCCTTCTAAAAGAGTCCCAGTCCCATACAACTCCCAAACCCATTCTACTAATCTTATTTGTCTTTCTGGAGCCAACATCACATTACTCGATTTGATATCTCTATGCAAAACACATTGCTCCTAGTCTTCATGTAGGTATAGCAAAACATAAGCAAGGCCATGGGCAATTTTGTACCTTGTGCCCCATGTCATCAAGCTCTTTGCCTTGAAGATATGTGAATCTAAGCTTCCGTTTTCCATTAACTCATAAACGATAGGAGTTCACTTTTCTGGGACACCAACCAATGAGTTGAACCAGATTTCTATGCCTTAATCTGCTAATGATCCTGACTTCTGATGCATACTCCTTAATTCCTTGTTTGGAAGTCTTGGACACCTGTTTGACTGCAACATAGGTGTGCAAATCTTTCAAAAAACCCCACCAAAACCTCCCCTCTGCAAAGTTACCGGTCGACTATGCTAATTCGTGGTAAAAGAATCTTGTAGGCCCTGTACCCATTTCAAATTCATTGTTCATCTCAACATCAAATTCGAGTTCTTCCACTTCATCTTGCACTCGACTACGACAAAATGTATGAAAAACAAGGATAATTTTGAAATCCTAGATATAGATATAAGTTGAATGGTCCCGTATGATTGATGTTTTTTTTTTTCAAAAGATAGGGGTTTTCTTAATGAATAACAAAAAATCTACTATGTCCTAATGGAAAAATATAATTTATGCCGATGAAATAATCAAAAGGGTTGGTGGGAGATGAATGATGGAGAATACATCAAAATTTTCAAGGAAATATAGTTTTAGATTTTAGTTGTAGATTAAAATTAAAAACTTAGAGAAACAATAAGCAATCACTACAACAAAATTGATTTTATATTGCCCAAAATGAAAAAGCTTCATAAAAGATTACTTCATAGGACACAAGTTTATACGACCAAACCAAAAAAGTTCTATCAAAAAGCGTTACAATAAATTTAAAGGACGTTCTTAGACGTTCTAACAAGTTTTTCACGATGCTTTTAAAATAGAGTGTTCTATTAATTATTTTATAGAACACTTTGAGAATTTTTTGGAGAAAGTTTTTAGTGTCGTATAAAATAGTTAATACAACATTTTATTTTAAAAGTGTGTTGAATTTTTTGTTAAAAGGGCTAAAAGCATTCTATAAACTTATTGTAACACTTTTAGATATGACGTTTTATGGTTTGGTCCTATAAACTTGTACCCTATAAAGTATTATTTTAGGACGTTTTTCATTTTAGGCGTCCTATAAAATCATTTTTGTTGTAGTGAATACTATAAAATGAACCATTTACCAATTAATTAATTGATACATGTTCGGTCCGTTAATATAATGCTAAATTCTTTTTGGATCGTATTAGATACCAAAGAATGTAGTTGGAAAGGAAGAATGTGAGCCCATCACGATGAGATTCGTTCTTCATTGAATCCGTCACAAAGGAGAAGTCAGTAATGAAGCTTCTAGCTCACGAGAGGTGTTATCCCAGAGCTAAAGCTGTCGAGCCCGACCTACTCTTTGGGGTGACTTGGATTCCTTGTGCGGAGATATAAGCTCCATCACCTATTACTTTGTATGTCACGATTCAGATTATTTGGACCGATATGTGTTATATGTTTTTTACGACAAAGGTTCAAAAGCAAACTTCTGTCTTCTGCTACATGTCTATTTATCCGTGAAATGATTTTACTCATGAAAACCATGAACTTAAATGGCATGCATAGAGACATAACTTGTCCACTTAAGTTCAATATTTTTGTCCAGCCATCTATGTTGGATAAAATTTTTAATACAACTCGGTACGGGACGACTGAGCTAAGTTACATATTTATTGTTCTCAAGTTTTCCGTTGTAAATGGTTTTAATTTAGCAGTTCCTTTTGAGATACTAATTTAAGAAAAACTATTGATGATGTTGCATTTCTCATAGTGAAATTTGGGTGTTACATCAATCCCACTATGTTTAGGAGTCTTGTTGGAAACTTGATGTATCTAACATCTATAACGTGTGTCATCATGTATGTTGTTACCTTGGTGAGTAAATTCATGGAGAAACTTTATTCTAATAATTTGGAATAAACTGGATTGGACATGACAAATTGTCTGGCTCATGTTTGATATGATTGGAACTGGACTGGACAAGTAGCCCTAAAAAGTTGTTTGATGACTATATATCATATAATAATTATAAATGATACAAATCACATATATATTTAAATACTTTAATTTATAAATATTTTTATACAATATATATATATATATATTACCAAATTTGAATGAAGAATTTGATATAGTTGATCATACTTTAAAAAAACCCGATTTGTATGATGAAACCAATGTTTTATCCAGTATAGAATATCCTTACGAATTGGCGGAAGTGGCAGATGGTGGTTGACGTAGAGATGGTTGTGAGTGATATCGTGGTTACTAATGGTGATGGAAGTGGAGGTGCTCATCGCGGCGAGGATGGAGGTCGACAACAAT